GGGGGGGGTGCAACAAAGATAATCAATATGTAGGCAAATTCCACTTTTGATCTTTTATGTATTCGCTAGTCCGACATTAAAGTAGGATACCTTTGAACGTTAAGAGATTCCCACAATTCCCTAACAAAGGTCTTGAAACCCGGAGACAGTTTGATTGTAAAACTATCATCATTGGCCTAACACTGTGAAGTTTTGGGTTTTTAAAAAAATATAATATAAGTGTTTTTACACCCCTTACGACACACTTTAAATCATTTAAACAGCGTGTATAGATACTGCTTGTCAGGGCCCACCCGTACTTAGAGGAATACAATGTCCCAACAGAAAGACGAAGATAGAAATTAATAGTTTGGAGGAGCAGAAAATACTCTGTTTCGCGATACACGCTAGTACGTGTACATGTATTTGATTTTATAAATGGAAAAGCAATATAGAATCAAAAGAACCTGCTAACCGAAGGAACAAATGGAACTAATTATTGAAATATAGATGCAAATACAGGGTGATCCAAAAAAAACTTTACAACTTTTTTCTGAATATCTCGCCCAAAAATTGTTCTAGAATGCTGCAATTTCGAACAAACATAATTCATTCAACAGGAATTTATTTGATATAAAATCCACAAAGAAGAAACTTGTTTTGAAAAAGGAAACGGCTAAAAGAAAAAAGCACCCAAAAACGCAAAGTTCACCAATGTTTAAAAATCTTGTACAGGAAGTCGTGAAAAGATTAGTTGGCCTTTTTCTTTAATTTCTCTTTGACGTTAATATTCCTTCCCTATGACATTTAAACAATATCTAATTTCTTTTACAGAGTTTAAAAAACCTAATGATTTCATTCTGAAATTCCAAGAAGCAGTGCTCCACATTCCCTCCTTTGGACACGTTTTTAATGCGTCGTTCGAAATGTTCAGTGGCGCCCTAACACAAGGACCTGCTAAACCATGAGTTTTTAAAGCCACATACACTGTACATGTTCAGTAAGAAGTGGCTTATGGAGACAATAGAGTGGGGTTCCCAATAGACAGCATTTTTGGAGTTAACATATCCCGCAGGGTGAAAATGGGCTTTGCACTAAACCGAAGGTCATCGGGAAAATGATCCCTCTTTACAAGACAATCGAGGAATCATGAACACATTGCTATGCTCAGATCCATGTCATTTCGGCCTAGCGAAGATGAACATGGTATAGTCGAAGGTTAAGATCTGCCATGAGAATGCAGATGTTGGTGTGTAGGAAAGTCCTAGCTGCAGATTATCTACGGACAGACGTCTCATGGGACTTAGCTACTGAAATCTACACTCTGGTGACGTTTAAAGGGCTGCGCATGGTGTGAGTTCAACCTGAAGTGGTCATTTTGTACAGAACTTTTTAGTTGTGATTTGCTATAGATCCAAACTGACGAAACTTCTCTACTCATGACGCCAAAGGTCTTGAGGGCACCTAAGCATTCTCTCCATGCCGTGAGCAGAATTTACGAAATGTCAGGGATGGTGAGTTTGTGGAGAGGTAATTTTCAATGCAAAAATCTCTCTGCTCTTTACTAAACGTAACCGTGATCTAAGCAGGCAAACGAAATTTGGGGAAAATGATATCCGCAGACTTTTGTTGACTTGTTAGAATGCTGTAGCTTGCAATATGGCGCGATTGTTGCAACGTTTAGTGGTAATCCTAATGCAAACTGGTGCGTCATGCTATGAAAATGGCGACATGGTTGAAAATGGTTTGGTTTTTTAATGCGCCATATAGAGCTAAACCATTCAATGGACTTATCTAAAATAATATCAGACAAATTCCTTTTGGCTTCCAAACGTTATGTTCAAATCTGAAACGCAAAACTTTAGTGTGGAGGAAGATGTTTATAAAACAAGTTGTAAAGGTTTTTTTGGATCACCCAGTATATTAAAATAAAATGGATGCATAAAGCTCATCTAATTAATCTGTCCGGTTCCATATGACAAAATGTAAAAATGTGTATGTCTTTTTTTCAGGGCTACGTGGACTTGGGTCTAGCAGAAAACAAACTGTGTGAAGATATTTTGTCAGAAAAGGTTTGTAGATACGTGTAAATTTATATAATTATACTTAATCGAGAGCGTGAGTATGCTTATATCAAAGCTAAAAAGCTGCAATAATTTGTCCCCATAAAGATACATAACACACTTCAAATAATAGAAACATTAGAAGGCAAGCTAAAAGGGACGAAGGCAGCAGGAAGGCAGGGACTACAAAAGACTGACAACATTGCCGTTAGATCAGTGCAACAGAACAGTTGACAACCCAAGTGGATGGTTAATCATTGCACTTCAACCTCGAGATGCCTTCGAGGGAAAGATGACACCTCCATAAAGATCACTTGTGTCTGTATGTGTTTTAGTGAAAGTGGGAGATGAAGGGGATTCAGATGATAGGAATGAAACTGAGAGAGACAGACACGGGGAACGAGACACGGGAAGGAGCGTAAGGGGGGGGGGGGGGGGGAGAGGGAAAAAGGGGGGGGGGGGGGAGAAAACAGTCATGTATGCAGTCAAACAGACGAAATTTTTTTAAAAAATACACATTCACAGATATACAAACGAACTAACAAAAAGGTCACGGGCACTGCCTGAAAAATTGGCTTTCATAGTCTCATTTCCTTCCAAGAACGTTAACTTGTTGCAGCCATGCCAACTTCAGATGAAAGTTGCAACTAGAGAGCTTGAAGATTTTCGATAGTTTTTTTTTCTCAAAATGCCCTGCTGACATATTATATTTGTTTTGGTTGTTTATCTCCGTCCAGTTCAAACGTCTGCCAGACGACAGCGAGGATATAGGAGTGAGATACTACACGGACAAAAGAGGATTGCCATGGTATTACTTGTTCTTGTTGTTGTTGTTGTTGTTGTTGTTGTTGTGTGGTTGTTGTTGTTATGCAAAGCACCTGCTAGTTCTCTAAACTGATATCCGATTTTTTTAAAGCTACTCACAAAAGACGAAACAAACAATCTAGACTCCTCGCGAAATTGAACCAGTTGGTCAAGATTGAAAATGCCTGCAGGCTTTGTCTGCGACATTTTGCAGAGAACTTGCAAATATGATTATAATATAAGAAGCAGGCTTCGCCCTACCCCTCTAAGCAGGGAACAAAACAACAATAGTTCATTTTGAATCTACTAAAGTATCAGTTTCCTTGGATGTTTCGGCCTTTTAGCTCATCCAGACGTTTACCGCCATGTAAATGTTATCAATGTCCTTTCGTGTCCTTTTGTCCGAAAAAACCCATTGTGTACAAAGCGATTACTGGGCTGAGACAAAGTCCATAATTGACCTGAATCGAAGCACTTACATAAGCAGGAACCTAATAAGACACTGAACTGGTTTAAGTCAAAACCTGCAGAGCCATGCTGCCTGAGATGCTTTGGATAGCGTGATTAGACGAAGTCTTCGAGAGTTAGTAGTTGGCGGGTGTTCCAGTATGGTTTTCTCCTTCTTTCATTATTTTCAAACATGAGTCATCCTCATCTTTCCACCTCCTTTTCTCTGTGTGTCTCTAGTGATGCCTCATATCTTCGGTGCATAAGTAATCTATTTGCATTACAAGTGCCGTAGAAACCGTCCTAAAATACCGATTTTTTAAAAGGAGGACCAGTTAAAAGGGGCAATAAAAAATAAAATTCAACTAGGGCGACATTACATTTGTTAATTCAAAATAATCAGCCTACTAGTTCGAAAAATGACAAGTTTTAATAAATTCTATCACACTTCAGTGAAAGGCAAAACTTGTAACTTCTAAAAAAAAAAAACCATACTGGGTTGGGTTTTTTTTTCAAAGTCACCCTTTCTGCATTGATTAATAAATGTGTGCAACATTTATATTTAAAATAAACCCAGGGAGGTGATGGCTATTTAAAACTCCAGGCTTTGACAATTTTTCTCCATACTAGCTCCAATACACCACTGGAAATTTTGAATAACCCATTGGCATGTTTCTGGGTCGATTCTTTGGACGTCCTGTTCAGCACTGAGTTGCAACTCTTTGATTGTTTGTGGGTTCTTTCCATGAACTCTGTCTGTAAAAAACAAAAACAAACACCAACAAGCAAACAAACAAAAACCACCCAAAAGTAATTACTGAAGGGGTTCAAACTGGGGGGAATGTAGGGACCATTTATCTATAAACTTCTGGCTTACAAGCCGCTCCTCAAACCTCTCTTGCATCCATACAAGGACCACGCTTGACTTGTGGGTTGTAGCTTCATCCCACTGGAACCAAACATAACAGCATAACAGCTCCTTCCTCCCAAACTTCTCCAAACCTTTCTCAGCATGGTGAGATATCCATTTGATGCAATTGTGGTTTTACTATCCTCGTCCTAAAACAAGAAGGGGCTCATCATGCCCCTGTAGTTGAACCCTTTCAAGAAGTGACATTATGATTAATTGTGTTTTACCTAATTTTGGTTGAAACTTTTATAACTTGGCATTTCTAGAACACGTTGCTTGATTTTCTACATATTCACAAACAACTTGGCATTCCTCTGGTTGAATTTGATTTGTTTTAAGATTTTTTAGTGGGTCCTCGTTTGTATAAGTTTTGGAGAGTTTGGTGTGGTATCAAGCTCAGCTTCATCGCAAAGGCCAGGTCGATTGTACCGAAGTTTCGCAAAAGCTCCAACTGGTATGATTTGACACATTTTCGGGCGGCCAGTTTTTCCGTCATGGAAGGCGAAAAGGTACCATTCTGGCATTATTTTGGTCAAATCCTCCCAAATCAAGCATGTTTACTTTCTAGGTCATTATTTGATATGTTTGATGAAAACAATCAAGCGAGAGGCTGCTAAATATAAATTGCTGGATCAAATTTTTTGTTTAAGCGCGGAATGCTGGACTTCCGGGTCAAATTTGATGACAAAAGTAGACGTCAGTTTAAAATAGTGCACACTGGCCAACAAAATTTCTCAGATGTATCAAATCATGATACCAAACAGCGTTCTAGCGAAACTTCCTGCTTTGCACACTGGGTATTATCTCTCGA